CAGTCCCATCTGTTTCTCCAGTCAGAGACTGGTCTGAGTAAGGCCCACCTAGCACAGAAACTCCTATACAATGTGCTTTGCTTATTGCTGAATTGACCTTAAAGATTTTCTGCTTCAAGTCTATTAATGGCATGTCTGTTTGCTTCAAATTACAGTATTTGTAGAGGATTAACTTTGTGCATGTTTACACTCAAAGGATTTATCTTCAGTAAATTGCTGAGCTCCTATTTCTTTCAAAATCCATTTACTTGGAACTCCTATTGATCTAGCACATCCGAAGTGACTTGTTTTGCTCAAAAACACGTATCATGATGTGATACCATGTATTCTAAATACCATACTGGGTAGTCCCATGTGCTACCATTCCGCCCCCCCGAAACAGTGTGCTCCTGCCACCCTTTGTGGCATCTGAGCCAGGTTGCACATACGTAAAGCAAGTGAGCACAGTGCATGCCCTTCCCCAGAGCTTCCATATGACCAAGCGGATGGCCACATCTTGCTGGTGTCTGTGGAAGCTTTGGGGAACAGCTGGGAAGAAGCAAAGTGGGTTTGGTGATGGAAAAGTTATGATTCCCGGTGTTTCTCCTACCCCCCCTTCCTCCTTTTCATGACTACAGCTGCAGTTTAGCTGAATGTCTTGGGTGGACTGCCTCAAGACCTTTCACATACATAGAAAGTGCTCACTGCATTAGTCTGAACAGAGTCCTAACCTTTTGAAGGCATTGATGGATTTATCCATCAAGTGTTTAATAAGGCGTTTTTGTGTCAGCATTAGAGATCACAAAGGTTTTCTTTTTCACAGGAGAAAGATCTTGGCCTTCTTTGTTCCAATGGTGATCCTTGACAGAACAAGTTTGTTAAAACCTAAATAGTGGTACATTAATAAGTGTCTGGTACAAAGAACTGATAAATGTAATCAAACAGGTTTTAAGCTAAAGCTTGTAATTCAGTCTTTTTTTTTTTTTTCTTTCCTTTTTTTTTTCTTTAGGAAAAAAAAGCACAAGAAAAACCATACTTATTGTGCTTTCTTATTGTCCAGGAATCCATTGGCAGCAGCAAAGTAGTCCTTGTGGAAACCGTTCTTGATTTCTGTTGTGACAGGGGTTTCCTTTGCAGCTGTTCTTGAAGGTGCTTTCTGGTATGTCTGTAAAAGCAAAATCCAAAGTTAATACTTGGGTTTATTTAGTCCCCCACAAAATCTACTTATGGTTAACTACAAAATGGAGCTGTCTGTTGTTTCTTGATGCAGATGTATATATTTGCTTCAAACTGCGCTAAGTGAACTGTATTGTTTGCACTGCTGTAGGTGATATTACCTTACTAGTATTACTGTAACACTTTCTAGTGCCAAAAGAGATTTTAAGTCCTTTTCACTAAAAGATCTATCTATGCAGGCAGCCTGGGGCATTCCCTGCTAAAAAAGGTTGAAGTAAACAAAACAAAGACAGAGCTGTTGTTTCTTTTTTTTTTCCCCAGGGAAGGAAGGAGGAAGAGTCAAAAAGGTGCCCAACAGAGCAAGTTCAGACCTACTAAGTCCTGAATGTGGTACCTGACTTGCTGTACAAGTGCAGAAGAACTGAACTGCAACAGGAAGGTCATTGTTACTGAATGACTATTTTGCAGATGTTATTGTAGCTATCATTCTGAACGGATGTGTATTTTAATACAAATGTATTTTAAGTACTGAGGTTCATTCTATATGTGAGCTGATCAAGACTGCTAAGCAAAAGCTCTCTTTCCCCTCCCCTCCCGCCCCCCATTGTCAGAGAGATCTTAGAAGACTGCTTACCTTGATGTAGAAGTTTATGAAGAGAACTACCAGTGTGGCCATATAGGAGGACTGGAACATGAGACAGCCGAACGGGAATCCACATGGCTTCACAGCTGCACTGAGTGTGTGCACAATAGTGAGCAGAAATTGGATCTGGGGAGGAAAGATCATGCACTAGTATCTGCTGAGAAAGTGTCAGTGCTACCTAAATGAGATATAATAATGCTATCTGATTCTTCTCTTTTCAAGTTTGAATACTCTTGAAAATTTCAGCTTTCTGAACCTGTGAATCTATTCTGAGGGTTAAGTTAAAATGGCCCTCTTATGGAATTAAAAAAACCTAAGGGGTCAGATTTCTAAAAATATAAGCTTATAGAACTACTTGGCAAAATAAAAGCTCTTTCTTTTCAAGAGGGGTTGTTCTATCCTCTAGACCATGTCATGCCAGCTACAGCGTTGTCTCTGTTACTGGGCAGAAACTTAAGAAAACTTGAAAGACTCCAGACAATAGCTTTAGAAGTCTGAACAGAAAATGGAAATCCCATGTCCGAGGAGAAATCTTGCATTAATGCAGTTGGGGACAAAGATGGGGACAAATGAAGCAAGAATGAGAGAGAAAAGGAATTGCAACAGGCTGTCTGTATTTAGGACTGTGAACTGCAGCCCATGCAGGTGCATCTGATTCTCCCCAGCCAGCTGTGCATGCCCTCAATCCAGTGTGCTGAGGTGCATTTCAAACAGGACAACTTTTTTCAACAGCAAAGATGGTCTCAGCTCAGTGAAGAGGCATTTGCTATACGCATTTCTACACAGGTGTGTTCAAGCTCACTGCAAACATCTGAACTCCCATGTAGTATGAGTAGCCCCCAAGATAAAAAAGTGCAACGAACTTTATTTCACATCAGGCCTTATATTTTGTTGATCGGAGCTTTTGATGTGGCTCAGCTTTCTGGGTACAGCAACTGCTGGAGTAGACTTCTAGAAGACAGACAACTTCTTATCTTACATAACTTTGCATTCTGTAGTTGTTCCATCGTGTGGCAGATTAACGCTAGTTGGCTGCCACTTCCTCTCCTTAGTAGAGTAGGTGGAGAAAACAAGATGATGAAACTTGTGTGTTGAGATAAGGGCAGGGAGGGTAATTGGTAAAACTTCCCAATAACAGTCATAAGCAAAATAGAATTGACTTCAGAAAGATTAATTTTTTGCCAATTAATAATGGAAGATAGTGAGAAATAAAATTAAAACCACCTTCCCCTAAGTCCCTGTTTCTTCCCAGGCTCAACTTCACTTCTGGCTCTTCTACTTCCTTCCCCCAAGTGGTGAAGGAAGATGGGGAATGCGGGTTGCAGTCAGTCAGTATTGCTTTGGCTCTGCTGCTCCTTCCTCCTCACGCTTTTCCCCTGCTCCAGCCTGGGGTCTCTCCCATGGGATTCAGTCCTGCATGAACTTCTTCGTGAGTCCTTCCCACTGGCTGTAGTCCATGAAGAACTGCTTCAGTGTGGATCCTTTCCATGAGTACAGTTCTTCAGGAATGGACTGCTCCGGTGTGAGTTCCCCACTGGCCACAAGTTCTGCCAGAAAGTCTGTTCTTGTAGGGGCTCTTCTCTACAGGTTGCAGCTTCTGCCTGGAACCTGTTTCTGTTTGGGGTCCTCCATACCTCCATCTGCTCTGACCTGAGTGTCTGCAGGGTTGTTTCTCACATTTCCTCACTCCTCTCTCTCAGACTCTGTGCAACATTTTTTACCCTTTATTAAATATGATATCACAGAAGTGCCCCCAGCTTTGCTGTGATGGGCTCAGCTTTGGCCAGCAGTGGGTCTGTCTTGGAGATGGCTCTGTTGATGATTTTTATAACTTTTTAATCAGTCCATTTGCCATGATTAAGTGATGTCCATTTTCTATGCAAGAATTCTATGGACTACAGACCTTCTACTCTATTGTAGAAAGTATTTCTAAGCATTATTTCCCTTATTAAGTTATGCTGGGGCACTTATTCTGTAGGATAGCTTTGCTATATTTGAATTCTAACTGGCTAAATTCTGAAAACGACAATATTTATCATTCATTTTGCCTTTTCTGGTGTTCTGAAGGATTTCTGGTACTTGAAAATGAGAGTCAAACAGATACATACCAATTGTGCCTGAGTGAGGTATTTCTTCCACCAGAGATACTTGCGCATAGAGGGGATGACTGACAGTCCGTAATAAGAATACATAAGCACATGGATAAAGCTATTCAAAGTGGGTCCAAAGAAACCTATAAAAATGCATTAAGGAAAATGTCAAGTCATTTGGAGATTACTGTTGCGAAGTCTACTGAACCCAAAATATAATAAGGCAAAGGATGCTGCTACTTCAGCTATTTCAGTATGAAATATAAGACCGTATCAGTCAGTTCTGGTTGTCCAGTAGTTCTACTTCTTGAATGAGATGTATTCTTATTTAAAACCAAACAAGCTCAAACAGGTATTTTGATTAGTGATTGTGTAAGTAGTAAAGTATCTTGCTAAAGCATAATCAGAGTGATACCATACAGGAGTCAAACCTGTAAGAATTCTTTCATCATGATTGATGCTGACTTTACTAGGGTCATGACTTCCTCCTACATCTGCTTTTGGAGTAGGTCTTGTATGTGATCACTCTTGCATACTACTCCTGCCTAAAAGTGGTTTGAAGAGAAGTAAATGTGAGAGGTGGTGTCAGCTCAGTGAAAAATCTACAGCCTAATACTCAGATATTTTTGGCCTGAACTTTTAACCATGCTTCTAATTTTACTGCTGTCTGCAGGTGTTCAGCAGTTCTGAAAGGCTATGAACCTTAAAGGTGCTATCATATAGCACAGTGATGCACTTGCTTTGCATGGTGATGTGATTCCTCTCCAGCAGCAGGTGACTTACACCCCAGGTGATGAAGCAAACAGAGACTTACTTTGCCCACAAGGTATCCAGTTCAGAACACACCACCAAATGTTAAACATAGTGGCATGGTGATACACATGAAGGAAGGTGATCTGGCTGCTTTTCTTTCTCAGTACAAAGAAGATAGTGTCTGTGAATTCAATTACTTTGGAAAAGTAATACCACCACAGCACCTTGGCTACCTGTACAAGCAAGAAAAAAGGAGCAGGAGATCAACACCTATTCATAAAAGGTCTTAAATATTGCTGCATATCATCAGTCCCTAGGCATGCAACTTCCCAAAAGGCATTAATATCTTGCTGAAGGAGGAGCACAAGCTCTGGCTTTGATTTTATTCCCCTTTTGAATGGGGCTGTTTAGAAAAAACATGACTTTTTTGATGTGATTGTATAAATATATAGCTAAATTAATTTTAAAAACACAAGCTTTGAGGAAGGGTTTTCTAATTGTTCTATTTTTTTCTTCAAAGATAGTTGTGTGGGGTTTATGTTCAGGGTTTTGGGTTTTGATTTTAATTTGTCTTAAGGGTGCTATCATTTACACTTTCTTGGCACAGAATAGATTTTGCTGGCAGCTGCTGCCGCTTAAATAATCCAAATTTGACACTCAATACAATGGAATATATCCTCTACAGTTGAGACGCTTTATCAGAGCTCAGGATATGTCCTAGGACAGTTAAAGACAGTAAAAACAAAAAGGGGGAAAATACCTTGTTGATGGCAAAAGGTATTTAACTAACCTTTTCTTTGCCATGATACAGATAAATTTTGAGGGTTAGGGGAAATTCTGTAAGTTAATCATCTTTCTGCTCTTGAACTATACCATTATCTGGAAAGTAAGCTTGACATGGGGAATGACAGAGAGCTAATACATGGAATTGCTGCGATGAAGAAATAAGGGTTGAAACCAGAGCAATGTCTGCAGTTTTCCAGAGTTGAGTTGGGCTTAAAACCATTCCCAGCTACAGCCCAAAAAGTGTTATGTTTTAAATGATTGATTTTTGTTCTGAGTTTTCAAATGATCCATATTCTGTGTTTTGATCACAAATCTTGGCATATGGCTTTTCAAAACACTTCCTCTCATGCCTTTCACTGCGAGGATGCACCTGTATTGAATAGAAAAGATGACACCACTTCTAGCTGTAAGGCAACCTGATTAAAACCCTCATGTTAAAGGTGTTTCCAATTACATCCTGGTAACTGCTGTGAACACAGCAGTGTGTTGCACCAGTGACATGGAGGGCGGCACTGCTGTGGGTACTGGGGGCTTTGTCTTACCCGGATGTCGGCCTCCCCTGCACTGTGAAGGTTCTGGCACTGCAAGTTGTAGCCTCCTTCCCACGTGGCAAGGATGAGCTGGAACAGAAAACAGAGCGATTATGTTCATGAACAGATGTAACGGTTTTTACCCCTGTGTTTTTTCTGTGTTTATTAGGAAAAGCAGCAGGATAGTACACCATGTTCCTACTCTTTCATGAACTGATGCTCTTAAACCAGACAACTTAGTAACATCTTCTGTTTTGAAATGGGAAAGGCATCAGGTTGTGTTGGACATGTACACTGAAATGGTATATCTTTTACCTTTTTCTGGCTTTAGAGCCTTCAAGGCATCCATTAAAATCTCTTGTTACTTAATGCAGTGATCCTCACTCCAAAGCTCATGCTTGAATATTGTATCTGCCCTGAAGCAGTATGATCACAGCTTAACACAGCTACTTGTGCAAAACTGTCCTTGAGAAAAATTCCTGGTGTGAAGCAAGCAAACAGAAAGCAAATCCAAAGTAATGCAATGGGAGAAATATCTCCTCATGCCATACGCATCTCTTTTGCCTACACTGGTAAATACAGAATGAAGTAGAGGACAGCAGATATAGTGCCGAATGGAGACCTTAATAGGCACAGAAAGCATTTCTTAGATTTAGCACATGTTGTACTGGGTAGCAGACAAAGCAATGAAATATTGGGCTACCACATTGTTATGGAGCAGAAGCTTTCTAGAAAGCCACGTGGTGGCTTTTGATGAAGAGTATTTTTATAGTAATAACCACCTTAAACATTTTGCAGCCTGTTTGGAATAGGGAGCATAATCTATTGTCTGTAAATGCTATGTAGAGTTCAATGATTTTTTTTTTCTTTTTTTTTTAAGTATTTAGTATTTTGCTTATTGAATGTATGAAAAGTGTTGGTTTTTTGGTTTTTTTTTTTGGTTTTTTTTTTTTTGGTGGGGATGAAAACAACCACTCATGTTCTGGGGTCTGTCTCCCTCTCTACAGAGGATGCAGTGAATGATGGTGGGAGAAATAGATCCAAATATTATCCTGTAAGCAGAATTGCAAGATGCTGTGACAAGTGGCTTGCTTTCAACTCAGGGTTTTCTTCAGACAGAAAAGTACTTTCCTGTGTTGAGTGTGTGACAGTCTATACAAAAATGAAGCAGAGATTCTCGGTGATAAAACTGAATTAATTCCTAGAGTAAATAAATTTTTGAAAAATTATTATTGATAATATTATTTGATAATTCTGGAGAATAAAACCTGGAAAACTAGGGTCTTCTGTTATTTTGCCTCCAAATGGCAATTCTGTGATTGTCCCTACAATTCCAACATAGCTGATGTATGTGGCCAAAATAACCCACAGAGATTGGAGAGAGAGAGATGAAAAGACGATAAATGAGTGTTTTGTAGATAACCACTATATAACAACCAAAATCCACTCCTTTCTGGAACAGTCAATGTTTTGATGGATTAATCTACAGTGTGTGCCAGAGGGTCACCAAACCTCTGGTGGTGAGGATGGGACCAGAGTCTAAAAACAGGTTAAACAACAGAAACCTAGCTAGAGATCTTTATAGGAATGCTTGGTGCAGCAGGGATCACAACTTGTCTTGCCAGCTTGGCCTCTGCCTGGGTATTGTGCCTGCAAGCACACTGGGCTGGGACATGTGGGCTCCTCTCCTTTCCCTGTTGTGGCAAGCAGGTGGGAAGGGGGGGCGTGGGTCACACCTCCCTGGCTAACTTAACCTGCAGAGGTGCTGAAGAGAAGGGAGTTCAAACTCCTGGAGAAAAGCAAATTGTGCCACTTCATTTTGCTATCATCTTTCAGAAGGCAGCTGAGTGGCAAAGGGATCATTTCTGTTCTCAAGAGCAGGGGGCAGAGGGCATGCAGTTCCCCAGCTCTCTCCTGTGACATATCCTTGGTCCCCAGATCTGTGCCTGTGCTGTAGCTGGCAATAGGTAGCAGCTTCATGAAGGATGAGAGACATAACTGCATGGTTGCTGTTTGGGGTAGCTGCTGTCTTTGTGTACTTGGATTTTCTCTCCAAACAAGAGGTGACTGAGCTGGGGTAACAATACCACTCTCTGCAGGGTTTTCTTTAATTTCTTTTGTTAATTCTTCCATGATTCCATACAATGCCAGTTTTTGCAGGTCATACTGTGTGCCTGTTCTCCAGATGTCTGATTTGGCAGAAGAGTTCCCTCTGATTTTTGTCTGTGTTTCAAGAGCCACAGCTTATAGTTAAGATCTCTTTTGACTGTCTTAACCTTGCTCTTTCATGTCAGCTTTTCCGTAGCTCAACATTTCTTTTATCTGTTTTAGGTCCTTTACATATTGCTGGGTCTCCTTCAGGGAAAAGTGGAAAATCTACTTTGACTTCTGGCTGCTCTACTTTGCAAGCTAATTTTCAAGGTTTTTGGCTAACTTCATCATAAAAAAAAAAAGTTAGTGGGGAAACTTGGAAGGCAGAGAGTACATTTTGGGGATCTTGGTGATCCTAGGCCATGACTTTCATGTTGGCTATCAATAACCTATCAGGGAAACAGCTTAACCAATGGTACAAAATGAGCCAGCTGCATGTCTGGAACAGAACCTGGTACCTTGACATAAAATATTCAGTTACTAGGGCTTTTATTTTCTCATACAAAACTCACATGTTACTTGTACTGTTTTAATTATGTTCCTTTTCATATGCTGAGCATTCTCATGACTCTGCAGAGCTGATGGTATTATTAATCATGCAAAGATGGTGCAAGTGCAGCATGTATTAAAGAGATGAGAAATCCTCTCTCAAAATACAAATTCTCTCAGAACCAATTCTTTGAATGCTTTGCATTCTTGGCAGCCTATCCTGAAAATAATATTAAATACATACATTGTCTGAAGCTATTTGGAAAATCAGATCAAGCAAAGAGGAAAGTGCTGTTTTGGGAAAAATTTCTGCTAAGTAGCAATATCCTGTAAATTAGTCGAGATTTTGTATTTTGCTGTTGCCCTAATGCCCTAAATTCTTAACAGATTCTAGGTTTTACACTAATAAATTACTTTCTCTCATCTACTCAAGTGTAAACAGCATGAGGATTCACAACAGTTGCTCACAACAGTTGCTCATGCCCTTTTGTTTGTTCGTGTGTTTTTAATGGGGAATCCCATTGTTCAGAAATAAGACCAGTTCCTCTATAAGAAATCTCAGCTAGGGTGGGGGACAGGCAGGCAGTAGGTGCCAGAACATGGTGCTAAAACCTCTCACCTTGCTAGGCAGCAACAGCTTGTACCCAGGGGCCTGTGCCCTTCTTATTATAAGCGTTTAGCCTTAAAAATCTTGTAGCTGTAGCTTGTCCTTGCATCTGTGCCTTACAGGTAGGCTACAAAGGAAAGTAACATGATTTTCTGAATGGATATTCCTATTTCTACCAACTGGGGTTTCTCTGTGCTATTTGAGTTGTAGCAAAAGCTCTGTTCATGTTGGGCTTTCCCAGAGAGAAAATGCCTGGAAGCAACAAGGTATTCCCCCATGTCCCAGGGCAGGAGAAAGGGTAAGGCACCAGCGTCTGCCTGGTGACTGGTCACTAGTGGTGTTCCTCTGGGTTCAGTTCTAAGATCAGTACTGTTTAATATATTTATCAATTGTCTGGATGCAGGAGTTGAATGCACCATTAGCAAGTTCGATGATGATACTCAGGGGATGAAAACTGAGAAATAAGGACAACATGTCCAGCTAGAATAACTGCAGGCAAGGACAGCAAAGTCAGCTCCTCAGCTCTCTGAACAAATTATTCAATTAAGATAGAGGAACACCTGGGAATTTAACTCTATTCAAGGTTACTACTTGCTCAAAAGAGCTGTTTGCTTTTGTCTTTTTATTTCATCACTCCACACTGCACTCAGTGACCCTTTGCAGTCTAGGTTTTTTCCCTCACTTTTCCCTTTTTCCAAAAGGTAGAAAGATGCACATGATCTCTTCTAGTTTCTCATTTTGTTGTCTTTGTCTTGCTCCCCTAAGTATAAGACAGTCTTTCTGTCCTAATCAAAGAATTACTTCAAAGGAAACCTTCACCTCAAGCATCAGTTCTTACGGATCTAGAATAATTCCTTACTTCTCTGCTAAATTTACATTCTCTAATTTCTGAACAACTAATGAAGCAGCAATTAACCATTCATTACAATCTTCTTGGCAAAAAAAAAAAAAAGTAAAAAATCATTATGTTAAAGTTGAATTTCTATAGTAAAATTCCATATGGACATGTCCATGGACAGTCCATATCATTTAGGTTCTACGTCTCTTTTACCTTTCCTCATCACCTGTACTGCTAAAACTTTACTTAGACCTTCCAATACTCAAGCTCTATCTTTTTAACAATTGTATCGTTAGGAAGCAAATCTTTCTTATGCCAACAGTTATAATGATGGAATAAAACCGAGTTTAAGTGCTCTTACTTTTTTTGTTTGGTCCTTTTATTTTGCCCAGTTATCCCAAATCCGGGTATTATACTGAGCTTTCTAGTAATTTGTGAGATGTAATGCCGGTAGCAATGCGTAGGGCTAAAAACGGTGGCTGGTGGCCCTGGTTGTGACAGTATTGTGCTTCTGACCTTACCCTGCCATGGAAGGATACAGAAAAGGTAATTCTGGCACTCCTGAACAGCCTCACATTGTCTTGGTACCTATGGATTTGCAAGTCATGACTGTAATTCAGAAACTGGAGTTACTATAGGGTGAATTTTCAACTCCTATAAACAGGTAAAGTGAAGGTTTTTTATATATATATATATATATTAATATCCTGCAAGAAGAAAGTCTTTCCTTCT